TTGCACTGACACGCCCCTCCCTGGTCAGGAGATGGCTCTTCTTTGAAACGAAGTCATTAAAAGGAAACAGAAAAGGAGGGCTGCCGGCCTGGTCGCTGGCTCCCGTGCTGCTTTGTCCAAGGATGGCTGGATGCCGCGTCAGGGTCCAGCCCTCGGGCTGTTGCCACACCAAGCCCTGGAGTGGGGCTCAGGTCCTTGCTGGGGGCGGGGAATGAAGGCCCGGTGACTGGGAGCCAGTTCCCAGCCAGGCCAGCCTGGGGAGTCTGAGACACTTCTGCTTCCTGGTCATTCTGGAACTTTCCCTCCCCTCCCTGCTCAGCTCTGGCCATCAGGGACCAGGCTCCGCTGGTCAGACAGTCTGGAAAGCCAGGGCAGCCGCTGTGCGCACAGGCAGCCGGGGCGGGGCTGGGGTCAGCAGCTGCCCACCCTCTCACCCGCAGGGGAAGGCTGGGCTCACTCTGGCTTTGTAGGCAGAGTCTCTGGGGGTTCCTGTTGGACACGAGCGAACCGGGTGCACCAGGGCAGCTGCTGGAAGCTCAGCCACGGCCCTCGTCTCTCATGCCCCTGGGGACTGCCCGTGCCTGCCCTCCCTGGCGGCCCCACTCCCCTGCTGTGGGCAAAGTCTTGATCGGGGGTGCAGGGTCGAGGGGTCGCTTCCTGGACCCTCCCACGGTGCTCAGAGATGCCTCAGGGATAGCTGTCGGCTGTGTCCCCACCTCCCGAGCAGGACAGGCGGATGCTCCCCACCTCGTTAATCCCAGCGCTCTGATGTTTTCTCCCGTGACTGCGTTTCTCGGGACCTCCCCTCGTGCCCTGGGAGCATTCCTCCCCAGTCTTAGTCCTCCACAAAGGCGGCTGGTCAGCAGAACCTGTGAGCCTGTTTCCTGAGGCCTACGGGTGGCCAGACATCTGTCTCGTCCTCACCTCCATTTGGACGGGACTCCGAGGGCTGTGCCATCTGCTCCAGCCCCTCCTGTCCCATTCCCACCCAACCCCGGACCCATGTGGCTGTGGCTGCTGCGGTGGGGCCTGCTTTGCACCTTACACACACCTGGCTCCACTCCGTGCACCTGCTTCTGTGTCTTTCCAACTCCGGGGGCTAAGGGCTGAGTCTTGTCTTCGCAGAGCTGGACGGCACAGCCTGTGGCCAGCAGGTTATGCCAGCGAGGCGGGAATTGGTAAGTGGGAACACCACAATGGTCGCGTTTCAGATACAGCTCAGAATGGGTCCCGTAGCTTGCATCTGGAGCCCCAACTACTCAGGAGGCTAAGGCGGAAGGATTGCTTGAGCCCAAGAGGTCGAGGCTGGCCTGGGCAATGTAGCAAGACCCCATCTCTACAAAAAATAAGTTCGTTGGGTGTGGGGCCAGTGCCTGTGGTCTCAGTTTTTTGGGAGGCTGAGGCAGGAAGATTGGTGGAGCCTAGGAGGTCGAGGCTGCAGTGAGCCATGATCCCACCACTGCACTGCAGCCTGGGCCTCAGAGCAAGACCGTCTCTAAAAGTAACAGTAGTAATAAAATACCTGGGGTTCAGAAAAGAGAAGCTGGAAGGCAAAGCTGACCACACCGGGCAGAGGTGGAGACGGCGAGTTTGGGGGCTCCCTAATCTTCCCCTGCACCGAGCCCTCAGGTGGCCTCCACCTGGTCCCCAGCCAAGACCCAGTTGTGCAAGAGCACCCCAGCTGGGCCCTGGGCCGTCACAGCCTTGCCACACACAGCCTGGCCTGTCACAGCAGAGCCTTGGGCTGCTGGGCCGTGGGCAAATGGCCCGGACCGTCCACACCCCGCTCCCCTGGAAGTCACCCACCGACCATGCTTAGACGTCAGTTGCGGGATGCCCCAAGCAGCCACCCGCGGTGCTTCGCAAGCTGGGCCGCCTCCCCTAGCGTGTCCCCTGCTCTGTGGACACCCAGGGACGTGGAGGCGGCAGCCAGAGTCTCAGTCCGGGCCCCATTGCCCAGGGAGATGGCTGTCCTCAGAGCCTTCCCAAAATGCCCACACCAGGGGCACCCGATTTCCCCAAACAGTCCAGGACAGAGCAGGGGCTTTGATCACAGGGGTCCAGCCCCACACCAGGAGCAGGGAGGGGCCGCAGAGCTGCTGTGTCTCCCGGCTCCTCTGCCCCATGCTCCCCACTCGGGGCTCCAGCAGCGGGCTCAGAGGACAGTGTGGCATTAGCATCCCCTGCCCGTCCGGGTTGTCACTGTCCTTGGCCCCTCGCGGCTCCCCAATGGATAAAAAAGGGGAAAATAAAGAATTATTGAAAAAAAATATATATATATATATATAGAAACCTGTGTGTTTTGGGATCTTTGCAACATTTCTCTGTAAACTCGTTCTTTGGGTTTTTGACAACACCTGAACGCAAAAGGGGTCTCCTCCCCGGTCACCCGTCCAGCCCCCGTGGGCCGTCCCCAGGTGTCCCTGGCTCCTCATCCCCACAGTCCTGTCCCTGCCCGTGCTGCCTCCAACACACACGCCCCAGGCTTTGTGCCCGTGGCTCCCTTTTGGTCCTTCACGAAGTATTTCTCCAACCAAGAAGCTGCTGGGATCCCTGTGGTTGGTGGCCCCGAGCAGCCCCACTCCTCTCGAGGAAGATACCAGTGCAGCCGCTGTAAGCAGGCTCCGTGCTGTGGGGTAGGCAGGGGCTGTCGTCCCCATCCTCCTCCCCACGGGACTTGTGTTACTGTCCCCATGTCCCAAATGGGGTGTCTCAGGAGCAGAGCCAGCGTCCTCCCTCCTCTCCCCAATCAGCAACACTGGCTGAAGGCCACAGCCTCGAAAGGGACAGCCCACGTGGGGCCTCACTCTCCAGGGCTGTCCCTACTTCAAGGGACAAAATGGTTTGTGAAACTCAGTTCAATTCTGAGATTGATGGCCAGCTTGCGGAGGGCAGGAGGTCTGGGTTCAAGTCTCAAGGTAGACGGGGCCCAGGGGTGAGTTCCAGCGTGGGCTGGGGGCCAGGGAGCTGCCCGCGTGGCTCCCTGGGGAGCTGAGCTCCCCATGGCCATGCACTGAGCTTTTGGGCTTTTCCAGGCTGCACCAGGCCAGTGTGATGCTCTCCTCTTCAGACCCCAGACTACCCTTGGGTATTCTCTCTTGCCCCATCCTCAGCCCAGGAGGTCAGGGAGACGGAGCTCTGTCCCGGAGGCCATCCTGTGCTCCTGGCCACCTCTCATCGATGGTTTATGGATGGGCTAGTGACCTATTTTGGAGCAGCTACACCAGTGCAGCCTTCCAGTCTCACTTGGTTTGAACTATTAGAGAATTTTATTTTTCCCTGAAATTGGGAGGAGGGAATGCTGTCGGCCCATGGAGGTGCTTGGAGTGGGCGCTAGGGCTGTGACAAAGGCTACCCCACTACGTCGTCCAAGCACCTCCATCCCAGTTTACCTTGGGGTCCGGTCCTGCCCCTGAACTTGGCAGTTATGTGAGCCAATAAATTCCTAGTTAGTCTTTATTTTTTTATTGGCTGGGCACAGTGGCTCACACCTGTAGTCCCAGCACTTTGGGAGGCCGAGGCAGGCAGATCACTTGAGGCCAGGAGTTCAAGACCAGCCTGGCCAACATGATGAAACCCCCTCTCTACTAAAAGTACAAAAATATAGTCAGACGTGGTGGCCCATGCCTTAGTCGGTGTGAGAACTGACTAACGCAATTACTGAGACTATATTATGAACCTTCATAGTGTTAGAAATAAATTTTCGGTGCCACAAAAGAAACAGCCCTCGTACATTAATTTTCTCAGCACGGCAATTTTACTTCTATAGAAGCGTGCGTCTTGCAGATGGAGCAATGGTGAGAGCACATCTGAACAAGGGAGGGGAAGGGGTTCTTATCCCTGACACAGGTACCCCTACTGCTGTGTCATTCTCCTATTGGCTAGGGTTGGACCACACAGTCTAAGCTAATTCCGACTAGCTGTTTTAAAGAGAGCAGGGGTAGGAGCTGGAGTGGAGGGGGGAGTAGTTTGGCGGGAAGGACGGCTAGAGAACAGGTGATTCAGGATGACTAAGAACAGCGCAGGTGACCAAGGATAACTAAGGTCAGAGCAGGTGACAAGGGTGACTAAGGTCAGAGCAGGTCATACAGGCTAGGAGGGAGTTGTTTACTGAAACTAGGGGCAAGGAGACAAAAAGAACAAGGAAATTAAAGTTTAAAATGCAGAACAAAGAACAGGGGAGCTGAACATACGGAAACATTGGTTCTTTGGAGAGGAGCTCAGAACTGATTGTACTTAACAATTTACGGGCTAAAACCTTTGAAGAGGAATTTATTATACCCTACAACAGTATATTAATTATAGTAGTTTTACTATTTTAATTTCTGATAACAATTAGTAGAATATTAAATAAATATTTAAACAATAATTTAATTTGGCTGGGCGCGGTGGCTCACACCTGTAATCCCAGAACTTTGGGAGGCCGAGGCGGGCAGATCACTGGAAGTCAGGAGTTCGAGACCAGCCTGGCCAACATGGTGAAACCGCGTCGCTACCAAAAATATAAAAAATCAGCCGGGTGTGGTTGCGCACGCCTGTAATCCCAGCTACTTGGGAGGCTGAGGCAGGAGAATCGATTGAACCCGGGAGGCAGAGGTTGCAGTGACCTGAGATCACTCCATTGCACTCCAGCCTGGATGACAAGAGCGAAATTCAGTCTCAAAAACAAACAATTACTTAAGCAATCATTTTAATATGTAATGCATTATACGTTTATATAACTTGCTTAATAAATAATAATAGTTATTAATATCCAAAGGCAAGCCGCCGGGAAACAACGGAGCTGGGATTTGAGGATTGGGTCCGCGAACCCCAGAACGCCCGGGCACTCCAGCCAGCCACACAGGGTGGATCCGACAGCAGCAGGGGCATCGCGGTCCTGCGGAGACACCGCCCGCCCGGAGGCGGCGCTGTGACCCAGATTGGAGCGCCGAGAGCCCAGCGCCGCGCTGCGGAGCTTGCTGGGACTTGTAGTTCGCAGGCTCGGGGCGCGCAGGCGCAGTGCCGAGTTTGCCTCTGCGCTCGTCGGGGGTTGGCGGCGGCGGCTGCGGCGAGTTCCAGAGGGGTGCCTGTTGGGGGCGTCCGCTCCGAGCGCCGAGGTGCCCAGCGGAGGAGGCGTCCCCGGGACACGCAGGGGAGGCCGTCCAGCCTGCACGGGGCGCTCCCGCCTCGGGGGCTCTGCGTGGCGCCTGAGCGCGCGCCCCAATGGTCACCTGCGCCCACCTGGGCCGGCGCGCGCGGCTCCCGGCAGCTCAGCTGTAAGTGCCGCCGCCTCCCGCGCCGCGACCTCCGTGCCGGGCCTGCCGGGGCTCTGGTGGGGCTGGGACTGGCGGGGCCGGGTGGCCGGGGCATGACCCTGTCGCGTTAGGGTCCCCACGGGAGGGTCGGGGGCCGGCAGCTCGCCCAGGGCCCCAGCGCCCAGGATGGCACGGTCTGTCCTTGCCCTGTGAAGACACCCCTGGATGAGAGACGCATGAGCTCCTGGGGCCCAGCCTGCAAGGAGAGGGAGAAGACGCATTGACTCTACGCTAAAGGCAGAGAGCGGCTGCCACGCTCGCACTTCAGTGAGGCCACGTCTGAGGGTCTCAGCGAGGGGCGGTCCTGCCCTCCAGGGGACACCGGGCGATGTCTGGGGACGTCTGTGGTCGTCACAACTGGGGGGAGTTCGGGGCATGGAGTAGGTGGAGGCCAGGGATGCAGCTCAGCACCCTGCCCAGCCCGGAGAATGACCCAGGCTCCAGTGTCCACAGTGCCCTGCGGGAGACCTCACTTATGTGTTAGCATCGCGGTCGTGGTGATAAGATAGCAAGGGTCCTTTTTTTTTTTTTTGAGACGGAATCTGGAGTGCAATGGCACGATCTCGGTCCACTGCAACCTCCGCCTCCCGGTTCAAGCGATTCTCCTGCCTCAGCCACCCGAGTAGCTGGGATTACAGGCATGCACCACCATGCCCAGCTCATTTTTTCATTTTTAGTAGAGACGGGGTTTCACCATGTTGGCCAGGCTGGTCTCGAACTCCCAACGTCAGGTGATCCCGCCTCTGCCTCCCAAAGTTCTGGGATTACAGGCGTGAGCCACAGTGCCTGGCTTCAAGGGTCCATTCTGTGTATACCCACCACCCCTGTTGAGGAATGAGGAGACAGCTGACCTTTCTGCTGGTCTAGCAACCCCAACCTCCCTGAACTCTCCCTTACCCAAACACGTTGGTTTCTTTTTCTTCTTTATCTTTTTCTTTTTTTTTTTTTTGAGACAGAGTCTCGCTCTGTCGCCCAGGCTGGAGTGCAGTGGCGCAATCTCGGCTCACTGCAAGCTCCGCCTCCCGGGTTCATGCCATTCTCCTGCCTCAGCCTCCTGAGTAGCTGGGACTACAGGCGCCCGCCACCGCGCCCGGCTAATTTTTTGTATTTTTAGTAGAAACGGGGTTTCACCGTGGTCTCGATCTCCTGACCTTGTGATCCGCCCGCCTCGGCCTCCCAAAGTGCTGGGATTACAGGCGTGATCCACCGCGCCCGGCTTTATCTTTTTCTTGAGACAGAGTCTCACCCTGTTGCCCAGGCTGGAGTACAGTTGCATGATCTCGGCTCACTGCACCCTCTGCCTCCCAGTTCAAGTGATTCTCCTGCCTCAGCCTCCCAAGTAGCTGGAATTACAGGCATCCTCCACCACGCCCGGCTAATTTTTATATTTTTAGTAGAGACAGAGTTTCTCCATGTTGGCCAGGCTGGTGTCGAACTCCTGACCTCAGGTGATCCACCCACCTCAGCCTCCCAAAAGTGCTGGGATTACAGGCGTGAGCCACCGTGCCTGGCTGCGTGGATTTCATTTTTGTCTGCAAGGCAGCCTCAAGAGGCCTTTCTTTTGGAGCAAGGATGAGTTTTGGGAGTTGGACATTGGAAGGGATGTTCCTGACCCAGGCGCATAGGTGTGGGTCAATGAGGGCGTTGGCAGGGTCATTAACATCAACCATGAGAGAGGAGGGTCCTGTGAGCCACTTGAGGGTGGAAGAAGGAAGACACAGGAGCTGAGGCGTGGGAGGTCCTGTCCCCATTGCCATGAGCTGTAATGTAAAGTTCCAAGAGTGGGCTGGGTGCGGTGGCTCACACCTGTAATCCCAACAATTTGGAGGTCAAGGCGGGCAGATTACAACACAGGAGTTAGAGACCAACCTGGCCAACATGGTGAAACCCCGTCTCTACTAAAAATACAAAAATTAGCCAGGCGTGGTGGCGGGTGCCTGTAATCCCAGCTACTCGGGAGGCTGAGGCATGAGAATTGTTGGCACCCGGGAGGCGAAAGTTGCAGTGAGCCAATATCGCGCCATTGCACTCCAGCCTGGGTGACGAGCGAAATTCTGTCTCAAAAAAATAAAAATAAAGTCCCAAGAGCCAAGGGAGCCTTGCGCCATGTTAGGGGCAGAGGGAAGCCTGGCAGGTTGTAAATTCCCGACGGCACCTGCAAAGAATCCCCCATGTGAAGCCCCTCAAAGCAAGGAGACTGTGTCTGTGTTTGCCTTTGGTTTTTTTGTTTGTTTGTTTTTTGAGATGGAGTCTCGCTCTGTCGCCCGGGCTGGAGTGCAGTGGCGTGATCTCGGCTCACTGCAAGCTCTGCCTCCCGGGTTCACGCCATTCTCCTGCCTCAGCCTCCCGAGTAGCTGGGACTGCAGGCACCCGCCACTGCGCCCGGCTAATTTTTTGTATTTTTAGTAGAGACGGGGTTTCACCCTGTTAGCCAGGATGGTCTCGATCTCCTGACCTCGTGATCCGCCCGTCTCGGCCTCCCAAAGTGCTGGGATTACAGGCTTGAGCCACCACACCCCGTGCCTTTGGTTCTTATATGAGCCTCCTGGAGCTGCTGTAACAATGCACCACAAACTGGGGGGCACGGGGAGGCTTGAAATTTATTCTCTCACAAGTCTGGAGGCCAGAAGCCCGACATGAAGATGCGGAGGGGCCGTGGTGCTTCTGAAGGCTCTGGCGGGAGGATCATCTCTGTCTCTTCCAGCTTCTGGGGATGCCCTGCCATAGTTGGTGTCCGTTGGCTTGGGACCACATCACTCCTGGTTCTAACTGCATCATCACGTGGCCTTCTTCCCTGTGTCTCTTTCTATTTTTTTTTTTTTTTTTTTTGAGACAGAGTCTCGGTCTGTCACCAGGCTGGAGTGCATTGGTGTGATCTCAGCTCACTGCAACCTCCACCGCACCAGGTTCAAGCAATTCTGCCTAAGCCTCCCAAGTAGCTGGGATTACAGATGCCCACCACCACACTCAGCAATTTTTTGTATTTTTGGTAGAGACGGGGTTTCACCACGTTGGCCAGGCTGGTCTCGAACTCCTGACCTCGTGATCTGCCCACCTCGGCCTTTCAAAATGCTAGGATTACAGGCATGAGCCACCACGTCCAGGCATCTCTTTCTCTTATAAGGACCCCAGTCATGCCCCCAGTAGCTGGAAGAGGCAGGAAAAATTTTTCTTGAGAGCTTTTGTTTATTTTTTTTCCTTATCTTTTCTTTTTGAGACAGAGTCTTGCTCTGTTGCCCAGGCTGGAGTGCAGTGGCACAGTCTTGGCTCACTGAACCTCTGTCTCCCAGGTTCAAATAATTCTCATGCCTCAGCCTCCTGAGTAGCTGGGATTACAGGGATGCACCACCACACCTGGCTTTTTTTTTTTTTTTTTTTTTTTTGTATTTTTAGTAGATGAGGTTTCACCATGTTGGCCAGGCTGGTCTTGAACGCCTGGGCTCAAGTGATCCTCCTGCCTTAGCCTCCCAAAGTGCTGGGATTACAGGTATGAGCCACCACAACTGAGCTTTTCCCTAGCGCCTTCAGAGGGAGCGCAGCCCTGCCCACACCTTGATCTCAGACTTCCGGCTTCCAGAACTGGTAAAGGATATCTTCCTGTTATTCCAAGCCCCCCGGGTTACTGGCAGCTTATGAAAACAGTCTCAGGAAACACATATGGAGTGGGTGCTTCACTTCCTAATGGAGACTGAGTGTTTTGTAAACTTGTTTGCTTCCAAGGGCCTCAGGACCTTCATCCATAAAATGGGGCCTTTAAGACTCCTGGCCATGGATGGGTGTGGCGTCTCACACCTTTAATCCCAGAATTTAGGGAGGCCGAGGAAAGTGGATCCCTTGAGCCCAGGAGCTGTAGACCTGGGACAACATAGCAAGGCCCCCGTCTCTACAGAAAATACAAAAAAGTAGCGGGGCATGGTGGTGCCTGTAGTTCCAGCCACAGGCTGAGGTAGCAGGATCGCTTGAGCCCAGGAGGTTGAGGCTGCCCTGAGATGAGCTACGATCGCACCACTGCACTCCAGCCTGGGCAACGGAGGGAGACTCTATCTCTTAAAAAGCAAAAACCCTGGCCTCAGTCCTGGGTCCTGGCCTCAGTTTACCTCCTTCTGTGTATGGAGGCCCCTTCAAGCAAATGGAGGTTGTCCAGGCCAAGGGCTCTGGGATCTGGGGACTGGCCTGGGTCTGGTATTCACACCAGCTTTCTCCTCCCCACAGCTCTGACTGCCCAGGAACCCGCTTTTCCCAAGAGGAGAGAATGGCTGCCGGGTACCTGCCCTGCCGGTCCCAGGTGAGATGTCCTCATTCTCCCAGAAGGCGCCCAGTATATCCAGAGGGAACAATCCCACCAGAAACCCAGTCCTCGATAGAGAAGGAGACCCCTTGCGATGTGAAAGTTCAGGAGAATTCCCCAGGAGCGGTGTGTGGGATGAGGTACTCATGCCGCTCCCAAGTGTGAAGAATGACCCTCAGTGTTGGGACTGAGCACAGCCCCTCCCTAGGAGACAGTCTTACAGGATCTCTGGGGTGTCCGTTTTTCTGGCTAGAAACCTCTGTGGCCTTGGTGCCTTTGCCCAAGTTCTTGTCCCGCATCCAGGAAGAATGAGGTACGCAGACAAGTAAAGGGCGAAGGAGAGTTCTCGTTACGGTGAGAGCAGCTCAGAGGAGTGGGCAGCTGCCCCCTGTAGGCAGGTCGTCTGGTCGAGTGTTCAGCTCTCAGCTGAGAGGAGGCCCTGGAGAGGGGGGTTCCTCTCTGCAGGCAAGTCATTCGGACGTCTCTGCAGGTCTCTGAAGCTCTCAGCAGAGACGGTAGCTCCTCTCTGCCGGCAGATCATCTCCGCAGCTTTCAGTGGAGAGGGTACGCCTCTCTGCAGCTGGTCGTCCCGTCCCATCCTCTCATCTCTCTGCCTTCTTTGTCTCTGGCCGTCCTCTGCCCTGCTGAGGCTGATCCAGGGTTTTTCTGGACCTCAGAGGGGAGGAAGTGTGTGCTGACTGGTCCATGGGCGGCCATGGGTGGGACCATAGAGGCACCATAGGCCGGGCGCGGTGGCTCAAGCCTGTAATCCCAGCACTTTGGGAGGCCGAGATGGGCGGATCACAAGGTCAGGAGATCGAGACCATCCTGGCGAACACGGTGAAACCCCGTCTCTACTAAAAATACATAAAAAACTAGGCGGGCGAGGTGGCGGGCGCCTGTAGTCCAGCTACTCGGGAGGCTGAGGCAGGAGAATGGCGTGAACCCGGGAGGCGGAGCTTGCAGTGAGCTGAGATCCGGCCACTGCACTCCAGCCTGGGTGACAGAGCGAGACTGTCAAAAAAAAAAAAAAGAAAGAAAGAAAGAAAGAGGCACTATAAGTCCCAAATCTGGTCCGTAGGACTGGCAGCTTGGCCCGGAGTCTTCAGGCCCTCCCTGGCCTGAAGGCGGGGCCTTACTGGGGACCCGCCCCCTTCCCTCCAAGAATTAATCTGCCTCCTGCTGCCATTCATGGCCCCGGGGCTTGGCCCCAACCCCCACTCTGAGAGAGGCCAGGCAGTGGGAGCAGGTACCCCCTGAACCTGCAGGGACTGGGAGGTCCTTCCTGAGACACCTGAGGGTGCAGGCTGCAGAGATGCCTGGGTCCGGCACCTGGGAGGGCAGCCACGGCTGCACCCGGGAGCTCCTGCCTCACCAACGTGGTCGAGGCAGGGGTCTCACTTGTGTCCAGCTCCTGTCTGCTTCCTGGAGCGGGAGGCCCAGCTCTGCAGCTACGGGTCTGGCAGCTGCAGCTGCACCCAGGTGGGCAGATCCCGCCTCTTCTCAGGTCCCCCAAGAGCACAGGAAGGCGCAGGAGGGCGGGGCTCCCACCAGCTCCATGGGGTGTGCAGCTCCAGTGGCACCTCCCTGCCGCTGCTAACGAGATGGCATCAGCCACTGCCATGAACAGGTGGGATCCAGCACCTTCCCTTGGAGACCGGACAGTGCTGCCCAGCAAGGCATCCTCCTCTTTACTTGAAAGAATATTTTTGTAATTGCGATAAAACACATGAAATATATGTGAACTTCACCATCTTAACCATTTTGAAGTGCACAGCTCAGTAGCATTAAACACATTCATGCGGTTTTACAACCATCACCACCGTCCTCTCTAGAACTTTCTCCTCTTCCCAAAGTAAAACTCTGTCCCCAATGAGACACTCACTCCCCATCCCCCTTCCCAGCCTCTGGCACCTGCCATCCTACTTTCTGTCTCTCTGAATCTCATGACTCTAGGGACCTCCTAGGAGTGGAACCACACAGGCTTTGTCCTTCTGTGTCTGGCTTCTCTCACTGAGCATGACCTGATTGCCGTTTTGTTTTGTTTTATTTTATTTTATTTATTTATTTTTTGAGACGGATTCTCGCTCTGTCGCCCAGGCTGGAGTGCAGTGGTGCCATCTCTGCTCACTGCAAGCTCCGCCTCCTGGGTTCACGCCATTCTCCAGCCTCAGCCTCCCGAGTAGCTGGGACTACAGGCGCCCGCCACCTCGCCCGGCTAGTTTTTTTGTATTTTTAGTAGAGACGGGATTTCACCATGTTAGCCAGGATGGTCTCGATCTCCTGACCTCGTGATCTGCCCGCCTCGGTCTCCCAAAGTGCTGGGACTACAGATGTGAGCCACCATGCCTGGCCTGCGGTTTTATTTTTTTGAAACAGGGTCTTGCTCTGTTGCCCAGGTTAGAGTGCAGTGGTGTGATCTTGGCTCACTGCAACCTCCACCTGCCAAGCTCAAGCTGTTCTTGTGCCTCAGCCTCCCAAGTAGCTGGGATTACAGGTATGTGCCACCATACCCAGTCAATTTTTGTATTATTAGTAGAGACGGAGTTTCACCATGTTGGCCCAGGCTGGCTGTGAACTCCTGGGTTCAGGTGATCTACCCACCTTGGCCTCCCAAAGTGCTGGGATTACAAGTGTGAGCCACCACTCCCGCCCTCTGCAGTTTTATTTATTTATTCATTTTTGAGATGGAGTTTCACTCTGTTGCCCAAGCTGAAGTGAGATCCTGCCTCCTGGGTTCAAGTGATTCTCCTGCCTCAGCCTCCCAAGTAGCTGAGATTACAGTACTCGCCACCATGCCCGGCTAATTTTTGTATTTTTAGTAGAGACAGGGTTTCACCATGTTGTCCAGGCTGGTCTTTTTTTTTTTTTTTTTTGAGACAGAGTCTCGCTCTGTTGCCCAGGCTGGAGTGCAGTGGTGCGATCTCAGCTCACTGTAAGCTCCGCCTCCCGGGTTTACGCCATTCTCCTGCCTCCGCCTCCCGAGTAGTGGGGACTACAGGCGCCTGCTGCTACCACTCCCGGCTAATTTTTTGTATTTTTAGTAAAGACAGGGTTTCACCGTGTTATCCAGGATGGTCTCGATCTCCTGACCTTGTGATCCACCCTCCTTGGCCTCCCAAAGTGCTGGGATTACAGGCGTGAGCCACCACGCGCGGCCCAAGCTGGTCTTGAACTCTTGGCCTCGAAGGCCAAAGTGCTGGGATTACAGGCACATCCTGGAGTGGGATTTTTTAAAGTTTTAAAAATTTTTTTGTAGAAACTGGGAGTCACTATGTTGCCCAGTCTGGTCTCGAACTCTTGGGCTCGAGCAGTCTTCCCAGCTTGGCCTCCCAAAGTTCTGGGATTACCAGTGTGAGCAAAGTCGGATGGGTTTTTTTTTTTTTCCCAGGATGCAACTGAAGAGAGAGAGGTGAAGGCATAAGATGGGTGTGGCCTGAATCAAGTCCATACAGGGCCCTTAAGGCTGGGGTCAAAAGATCGGGGTGCCTCCTGTATGCATATGGTTCACGTGCTAGAAGTGGTTTTACATCCTTTCTTTTCTTTTTCTTTTTTTTGATGGAGTTTCGCTCTTGTTGCCCAGGCTGGAGTGCAGTGGTGCAGTCTCAGCTCACTGCAACCTCCGCCTCCTGGGTTCAAGGATTCTCCTGCATCAGCCTCCTGAGTAGCTGGAATTACAGGCACCGGCCACCACTCTTGACTGATTTTGTATTTTTTTTTTTGAGACGGAGTCTCGCTCTGTCGCCCAGGCTGGAGTGCAATGGCATGATCTCAGCTCACTGCAAGCTCCGCCTCCCGGGTTCACGCCATTCTCCTGCCTCAGCCTCCGAGTAGCTGGGGATACAGGTGCGCACCACCACACCTGGCTAATTTTTTGTATTTTTAGTAGAGATGGGGTTTCACCGTGTTAGCCAGGATGGTCTCAATCTCCTGACCTCGTGATCTGCCCACCTCGGCCTCCCAAAGTGCTGGGATTACAGGCATGAGCCACCGCGCCCAGCCTGATTTTGTATTTTTAGTAGAGATGGGGTTTCTCCGTATTGGTCAGGCTGGTCTCGAACTCCTGACCTCAGTTGATCCACCCGACTCAGCCTCCCAAAGTGCGGGGATTACAGGCATGAGTCACGGTGCCCAGCCAACTTTTACATCTTTTTTTTTTTTTTTTTTTTTTTTTTTTTTTGAGATGGAGTCTCGCTCTGTCGCCCAGGCTGGAGTGCAGTGGCCGGATCTCAGCTCACTGCAAGCTCCGCCTCCCGGGTTTCCGCCATTCTCCTGCCTCAGCCTCCCGAGTAGCTGGGACTACAGGCACCCGCCACCTCGCCCGCCTAGTTTTTTTGTTGTACTTTTTAGTAGAGACGGGGTTTCACCGTGTTCGACAGGATGGTCTCGATCTCCTGACCTCGTGATCCTCCCGTCTCGGCCTCCCAAAGTGCTGGGATTACAGGCTTGAGCCACCGCGCCCGGCCAACTTTTACATCTTAGAGCAGATACCAGCTTAGGTGCCGTTTTATACCATGGATTACCTGGATAGCCATTCAGGCCCTAAACACTCAGCCCCTTCATATGCTGAAACAACAAAGCTTTCACCATATTTCAGTGGGTCAGGGTTGTAGCAGATTCCTCTTCTTACATCGTCCGTGCCTTGTAACGTGTAACTGTGAGTCATGGAAGCAAAGAAAACTAACCTCTAATAATTGTGAGTTTTGAGTAAGGTCCTGTTCTATCCTGCGTGTTGTTGGGTATTGCTTCTAGGTCTTCTGACTATAGCAATAGCAAATGCTGTGACTGATACTAACTAGTTAGTCCTCACGACAACACGCTTTGGATAAAATGCTTCTTTCCATTGAACAGATGAGGAGGCTGTGTCCCGGACAGGTCAGATATATACCTGCAGTCCGGTAACCCACGAGTGGCATGCCCCTGACATCCATGCATTTTCAGAACCAGCAGGGGGAGATTCTTGCATGGGAATGTCAGACTCAGAGATCCAGAGGTTAGAATCACCAGTTCAATAAGAAATGGGCAAAGTGTTTCATCCAGACCTGTGTCCTGGTCATCATTGCTGTGTCGATGGTGGGCCTAGGGTCTATATATCCCTCTGATTTGAAGCCAAGGACAAGCACCCACAAGGCAGCTAGTAGACACTGACTTCTGACCTTTGCACCTTGACCTTTCTCAACTTCCCTGGTGCCACCAACCTCACCCCTCCTCCCATGAACGTGGGTGGCGATGGACCCATCTTGAGCAGAACCGCTGTGATATTCTAGGAATTAGTAACCTTTGAGGACGTGTCCGTGGACTTCTCCCAGGAGGAATGGGAGTTGCTGGAGCCTGCTCAGAAGAACCTGTACAGAGAGGTGATGCTGGAGAACTATAGGAACGTGGTCTCCCTGGGTAAGGCAAGCATCATTCATTCCTGTGTTCATTGATTCACATTTATGTTTGTTTGTTTGTTTGTTTGTTTGTTTTGAGATGGAATCTCACTCGCCCAGGCTGGAGTGCAGTGACCGGATCTCAGCTCACTGCAAGCTCCGCCTCCCGGGTTCACGCCATTCTCCTGCCTCAGCCTCCCGAGTAGCTGGGACTACAGGCGCCCGCCACCATGCCTGGCTAGTTTTTTGTATTTTTTAAGTAGAGACGGGGTTTCATCGTGTTAGCCAGGATGGTCTCGATCTCCTGACTTCATGATCCGCCCGTCTCAGCCTCCCAAAGTACTGGGATGACAGGCTTGAGCCACCGCGCCCGGCCCACATTTATCTGGTGTATTAGTCTGTTCTCACACTGCTAATAAGGACATACCCAAGACTGGGTAATTTGTAAAGGAAAGGGGGTTTAATGGACTCAGTTCCACATGGCCGGGGAGGGCTTACAATCATGGTGGAAGGCGAATGAGGAGCAAAGTCACATCTGACATGGCCAGTAGGCAAGAGAGCTTGTGCAGGGAAACTCCCATTTGTAAAATAGTCAGGTCTTGTGAGACGTATCCATTAGCACGAGAACAGTATGGGGAAAACCACCCCTGCCATGATTCAGTTATCTCCCCCTGGCTCTGCCCCTGACGTGGGGATTTTTTTTTTTTTTGAGACGGAGTCTCGCTCTGTGGCCCAGGCTGGAGTGCAGTGGCCGGATCTCAGCTCACTGCAAGCTCCGCCTCCCGGGTTTACGCCATTCTCCTGTCTCAGCCTCCCAAGTAGCTGGGACTACAGGCGCCCGCCACCGCGCCCGGCTAGTTTTTTGTATTTTTTAGTAGAGACGGGGTTTCACCGTGTTAGCCAGGATGGTCTCGATCTCCTGACCTCGTGATCCACCCGTCTCGGCCTCCCAAAGTGCTGGGATTACAGGCATGATCCACCGCGCCCGGCCAACGTGGGGATTCTTACAATTCAAGGTGAGATTTGGATGGCGACACAGCCCAAACCATCTCATCTAGTGTCTACTGTGTGTCAGGCACCATGCTGGGAATGGGGGATTCATCGGTAAATAAGACAAACGTGGGTCCTGGTTTTGCGGCTTTCGTGGTCTGGTTTCTCTGAGAACAGATGACCTTCCTTGTTCAGTACGTGATAGCTGGAGCTGCAGTGGAATTGCATGTCTCAGCTCAGGCCTAGATAACTTCTCTGATTCCCCCTGGGAACAAAGTCAGAGTGTCTTAGTCGGTTTCACGCTGCTGTAAAGAATACCACGCCCTCGGCTGGGCGTGGTGACTCACGCCTGTAATCCCAGCACTTAGAGATCACAAGGGTGGATCACTTGAGGTCAGGAGTTCAAGACCAGCCTGGCCAACGTGGTGAAACCCCGTGTTTATTAAAAATAGAAAAAAAATCAGGCGGGCGTGGTGTTGGGCACCAGTAACCCCGGCGACTCAGGAAGCTGAGGCAGGAGACTTGCTTGAACATGGGAGGCAGAGGTTGCAGTGAGCCGAGATCGCACCACCGCACTCCAGCCTGGGCGACAGAGCGAGACTCCGTCTCAAAAAAAAAAAAAAAAAGAAAAAAAAAGAAAAGGAAAAGAGGTTTAATGGAGTCACAGTTCCCCATGGCTTGGGAGGCCTCAGGAAACTTACAATCATGGCAGAAGGGGAAGCAGGCACCTTCTTCAAAAGGCAGCAAGAGAGAGAAGAGAGCAGGGGAAACCTTATAAAACCATCAGATCTCATGAGAGCTCACTATCACGAGAACAGCATGGCGGAACCGACCCCATGATCTCATCACCTCCCATCAGGTACCTCCCTTGACACGTGGAGATTACAATTTGAGATGAGATTTGGGTCGGGAGACAGCCCAGCCATATCACAGAGCATTTGTACTCTTAATTTTTAAAAAAAATGTTTTTACTGTGATAAAAAATACAGACTGGGCATAGTGGTTCACATCTGTAATCCCAGCACTTTGGGAGGTTGAGGTGGTTGGATCACGTGAGGCCAGGAGTTCGAGACCAGCCTGACCAACATGGCAAAACCCCATCTCTACTAAAAACACAAAAATTAACTGGGCATGGTGGTAGGCGCCTATAATCCCAGCTACTTAGGAGGCCGAGGCATGAGAATCGCTTGAACCCGAGAGGCAGAGGTTGCAGTGAACCAAGATTGTACCACTGGACTCTAGCCTGGGCAACAGAGTGAGACTCTGTCTCAAAAAATATATATACAGCGGTGGCTCATGCCTGTAATCCCAGCTCTCTAGGAGGCCGAGGCAGGTGGATCACCTGAGAGATCAGCTTGACCAACATGGAGAAACCCTGTCTCTATTAAAAATACAAAATTAGCCGGGCGTGATGGCACATGCCTGTAATCCCAGCTACTCAGGAAGCTGAGGCAAGAGAATCGCTTGAACCCAGGAGGTGGAGGTTGCGGTGAGCTAAGATCGTGCCATTGCACTCCAGCCTGGGCAACAAGAGCAAAACTCCCTGTCAAAGAAAAAAAAAAAATTATATATACATATATATATGCACAGACATATCTATCTATAGATCTCTATATAAACATAAAGTGTGCTTTTTTCACCCTTTTTAAGTATGCAGTTCAGTGGCATTAAATGCATTCAGCATGTGCTACAGCCAACACAACCGTCCACTTCCAGAACTTTTTTATTCTCAACCAAAACTCTATACCCATAAAATTCTCCCTCCCCAGCCCCTCCTTCAGCCCCTGGTAACCATGAGTCACTCTCCATCTCTGTGGATTTGCCTACCCCAGACTTTTCCTATAAACGGAATCAGATAATATGTGGCCTTTTGGCCGGGCGCGGTGGCTCAAGCCTGTCATCCCGGCACCTTGGGAGGCCGAGACGGGCGGATCACGAGGTCAGGAGATCGAGACCATCCTGGCTAACACGGTGAAACCCCGTCTCTACTAAAAAATACAAAAAACTAGCCGGGCGAGGTGGTGGGCGCCTGTAGTCCCAGCTACTCGGGAGGCTGAGGCAGGAGAATGGCGTGAACCCGAGAGGCGGAGTTTGCAGTGAGCTGAGATCAGGCCACTGCACTCCAGCCTGGGCGACAGAGCAAGACTCCGTCTCAAAAAAAAAAAAAAAAAATGTGGCCTTTTGTGTCTGGCTGAGTTCACTGGGTGTGATGTTTTCAGGGTTCATTTATGTTGTAGCCCGTGTCAGTGCTTTATTCATAGATGAAAAAGATGATTCCATTGTGTATATTCAACACGCTTTGTCCATCCATTCACCAGTTGATGGACCTTGGGTTTCCACCTTTCCACTGTTGTGAATCCTGTTGCTGTGAGGATTGGCAAACAAGTATCTGTCAGTCACTGTTTTCAGTGCTTTGGGTCGATGCTCGGAGTAGAATTGCTGGATCATGTGGTAATTCTATGTTTAGAATTTAACTTTTTGAGGAACTGCCATACTGGCTTTTGTTTTGTTTTGTTTTGAGATAGAATCTCGCTTTGTCACCCAGGCTGGAGTGCAGTGGCACTTTCTCAGCTCACTGCAACCTCTGCCTCTGCAGTTCAAGTGATTCTCATGCCTCAGCTTCCCAAGTGTAGCTGGAATTACAGGTGTGCACCATCACACTTGTTTTTGTATTTTTTTTTTTTTTTTTTATGAGACAGAGTTTCGCTCTTGTTGCCCAGGCTGGAGTGCAGTGGTGCAATCTCGGCTCACCACAACCTTTGCCTCCCAGGTTCAGGCGATTCTCCTGCCTCAGCCTCCCCAGTAGCTGAGATTACAGGCATGCACCACCACACCTGGCTACTGTTTTTGTATTTTTAATAGAGATGGATTTTTGCCATATTGGCCAGGCTGCTGTTGAACTCATGACCTCAAGTGATCCGCCTACCTGCGCTTCCCAAAGTGCTGGGATTACAGACATGAGCCACTGTGCCCAGCCCCATACTGGTTTTTGTATCAGCATGTACATTTTCCATTCCTACCAGCAGTATAAACTGTTCTAATTTCTCCACATCCTTGGCAACACTTACTTTTTTTTTTTTATTATGGCCTTCCTAGTATGTGTGAAGTGGTATCTCATTGCGGTTTTGGTATGCATTTCCCTAATGACCAGTGACATTGAGCATCCATTCATGTGTTTATTGACCATTCGTATATCGATTTTGGGGGGAAATGTAAAATCTTTTTTTTTTTTTTTTTGAGACAGTGTCTCACTCTTGTTGCCCAGCCTGGGGTGCAGTGGTATAATCATAGCTCACTACAGCCTTGACCTCCCCAGGCTCAAGTGATCCTCCCACCTCAGCCTCCCAGGTAGCTGGTACTATAGACTCAGACCACCACACTTGGCTAGTTTTTTGGGTATTTTTTCTTCTCTTTCTTTTTGGTAGGTACAGGGTCTCACCATGTTGCCCAGGCTGGTCTCAAACTCCTGAGCTCAAGTGATCCACCTGCCTCTGGGCCTCCCAGAGTGTTGGGATTACAGATGTGAGCTACCACGCCCAACCAGATCTGTAATATTATTTATTTATTTATTTATTTTAATTTTATTTTTTTGAGACTGAGTCTTGTTGCCCAGGCTGGAGTGCAATGCCACGATCTCAGCTCACCGCAACCTCCGCCTCCTGGGTTCAAGCAGCTGTCCCACCTCAGCCTCCTGAGTAACTGGGGTTACAGTCATGCACCACCACGCCCGGCTAATTTTTGTATTTTTAGTAGAGACGGGGTTTTGCCATGTCGGCCAGGCTGGTCTCAAACTCCTGACCTTGGGTGATCCACCTGCCTTGGCCTCCCAAAGTGCTGGGATGACAGGAGTGAGCCACCGTGCCCGGCCCAGGTCTGTAATTTGTTAATTAGAAAATAAAATCTTTACCTTGTGCTACCTCTCAAGTATACTCTTGTCTCTTTCAGAGGCCTTGAAGAACCAATGTACTGATGCGGGGATTAAGAAGGGTTCACTTTCCCCAGCACAAACCCCACAAGTCACTAGTCTTTCCTCATGGACGAGGTATGTACTTCTTCAACCAGCAGCTTCTTCCCAGTTGGAGCAAAGAGAAGCCCTGTGGATGGAGGAGAAAGGGACTCCTCAAGCCTCCTGTGCAGGTGAGAATCAGGCAGATAGAAACCGCTGGGATGGCAGTGGCATCATGGGAAATATTGGTCAGAATTATCTTCACAAGGCCCTGATTCTGTAAGGAGAATGCCAAGATCCCGTTCTCAGACACCTTGAGTTCACTTTCTGGCAGCTTTCTCCTTCTTTTTACTGCTTTGTATGACCTCTCTCTGGGTACAGAGAAAAGAATATCCCATTTTCTTGTTTTATTCATTTATCTTTTTTTTTTTTTTTTTTTTTTGAGACGGAGTCTCGCTCTGTCACCCAGGCTGGAGTGCTGTGGCCGGATCTCAGCTCACTGCAAGCTCCGCCTCCCGGGTTCACGCCATTCTCCTGCCTCAGCCTCCTGAGTAGCTGGGACTACAGGCGCCTGCCACCTCACCCGGCTAGTTTTTTTGTATTTTTTAGTAGAGACGGGGTTTCACCGTGTTAGCCAGGATGGTCTCGATCTCCTGACCTCGTGATCCGCCCGTCTCGGCCTCCCAAAGTGCTGGGATTACAGGCTTGAGCCACCGCGCCTGGCCTCATTTATCTTAAGACAGGGTCTCACTCTGTGGCCCAGGTTGGAGTGCAGTGGCATGATCATCTCTCACTGCATCCTCGCCTTCCTGGGCTCAAGTGATTCTCCTGCCTCAGCCTCCTGAGCAGCTGGGACTATAGGCACATGCCATCGCTCCCAGCTATTTTGTTTTTCTCAGAGATGGAGTCTCACTGTGTTTCCCAAGCTGCTCTTGAATTCTTGGCCTCAAGCGATCCTGCTTTCTCAGCCTCCCAGAGTGTGGGGAGTACAGGCATCAGCCACAACTCCTGGCCCCATTTTCTTCTATTCCCCCCCGTTTTTTCTTGAAGCCATTCTGCCTATGTTTCTAGTTGTCTCTTCCCTCTTTGCTTCCTTGATAATTCTTTCTGTCTGCTAGATATATTCTCCCAGCTTTACAGAGTAATTTTTTTTTTGACACACAGTCTCGCTCTTTCACTCTTGTTGCCCAGGCTGGAGTGCCGTGGCGCAATCTCGGCTCACCGCAACCTCCGCCTCCCGGGTTCAAGCGATTCTTCCGCCTCAGCCTCCTGAGTACAGGCATGCGCCACCACACCTGGCTAATTTTTGTATTTTTAGTAGAGACGGGGTTTCACCGTGTTGGTCAGGCTGGTCTCAAACTCCTGACCTCAGGTGATCCACCCGCTTCGGCCTCCCAAAGTGCTGGGATTACAGGCGTGAGCCACCGCACCTGCAGAGTAATTTCTCTCTGCATTGATATTTCTCTGCCTTTTCCCGTCACTGTCGATCTTCTGCTGCTGCATCTCATCCTTAGGGGCCTTCCTTGCCACCCATCTCTCTTTTTCCCATCCTCCCCCCATGTTCAAAGCTGATATTTGAACATCAGTCCACACAGGCCTTGTAGATGTTGGAAGGACTTTTGTCCCACTCGTTTTCAAGCTGTTTCTTCTTCTAAAAAAATTGTTTCCACCTCAATTTATTCCAGATTGCATGACTGTACTAAGAAACCAAGACTCAACTTACAAGAAGGTGGCTTTGCAGGAGGAACCAGCCAGTGGTTTAAAGATGATAAAGCTTATCAGAGAAGACAGGGGATGGAAGCAATTAGAGGAGAGCCATGAAGACCCCCGGGGACTTTTGAGCCAAAAGGCATCCCTCCACGTAGTGGCCATGCCTCAGGAGAAGGCTGCTGCATGGCATGGATTTGGGGAAAATGGTAATCTGAGCCCAGCCCTTGTTTCATCACAGGGAAGCACTAGAGGGAATCACTTGTGTGGCAGTGAGTTAGATACTACAAGCTTGGCATCCGATTCCATCTTAAACCACCATCAGGTGGGATATGCCGATCGGAGACCCTGTGAAGGTAATGAATGCGGAAATGCCATCAGCCAGAACAGTCACTTTACTCCACATGGGGGGAAAATGTTTGTGTATTTGGAAAACGGGCAGTCATTGAACCACGGTATGGCCCTGACCGTCCACAACAAAATCAACACGGCAGAGAAACCCTTTGAGTGCCAGCAGTGCGGGAAGGTGTTCAACCGGAGGCATTCCTTGAGCGAACATCAAAGAATTCACACGGGAGAGAAACCCTACGAGTGTCAGGAGTGTGGGCGAGCCTTTACGCACAGCTCCACCCTCACGCGCCATCTGAGGACTCACACTGGAGAGAAGCCCTACGCGTGCGGCGCGTGCGGGAAAGCCTTCAACAGGATCTCATCTCTGACTCAGCATCAGAGGATTCACACCGGGGAAAAGCCCTATAAATGTGAAGACTGCGGGAAATCCTTCTGCCAGAGTTCCTACCTGATCTTGCACAGGAGGACGCACACCGGAGAGAAGCCCTACGAATGCAGCGAATGTGGAAAGGCCTTTAGCGACCGCTCCTCCCTCAACCAGCACGAGCGGACTCACACGGGCGAGAACCCCTATGAATGTAAGCAGTGTGGGAGAGCTTTCAGCCAGAGGTCTTCCCTGGTGAGGCACGAGAGAACTCACACTGGAGAGAAACCCTACAGGTGTCAGGAATGCGGAAAAGCCTTCAGCCAGAGCTCGTCCCTTGTCACACATCAGAAAACTCACAGCAGCCAGAAAATCTACAAAATCATTGACTGTGGGAAAGCGTTCTACCAGAACAGACATCTTATTGGATGTTAGCGATTGCATGCTGCTTTGTGAACCCCTTTTTAGTACTCTGACACATACCTGTGGTTATACTTTGCCCTGGTGGGATGGATAATTTGAAAAGCAGTGGGGGCCGGGCGCGGTGGCTCAAGCCTGTAATCCCAGCACTTTGGGAGGCCGAGACAGGCGGATCACGAGGTCAGGAGATTGAGACCATCCTGGCTAACACGGTGAAACCCCGTCTCTACTAAAAAATAGAAAAAAACTAGCCGGGCGAGGTGGTGGGCGCCTGTAGTCCCAGCTACTCGGGAGGCTGAGGCAGGAGAATGGCGTGAACCCGGGAGGCGGAGCTTGCAGTGAGCTGAGATCCAGCCACTGCACTCCAGCCTGGGCGACAGAGCAAGACTCCGTCTCAAAAAAAAAAAAAAAAAAAAAAAGAAAAGCAGTGGGTTTATGTCACCTTCTCACCTTCTTGGAAGAAAGCTCTGAGAATGGGCCTTTTTGTGTTTTGTTGTTGCGTTTTTGAGATGGGATCTGCCACCCAGGCTGGAGTGCAGTGGCGTGGTCATACCTCACCGTAGCTTCAACTTCCTAGGCTCAAGTAATCCTCCCACCCCAGCCTTCCAGGTTGCTGGGACTACAGGCGTGCAACACCATGCCCAACAAATTTTTAAATTTATTATGGAGTTGGGGTCTTGCTACATTACCAAGACTGGTCTTTAATTCCCGGGGTCAAGCACTCCTCCTGTCTTGGCCTCCCAAAGTGCTGGGATTAGAAGCATGAGCCACTGTACCCAGGCTGACGGGGCCTCTTAATAGGAGGAGTTGCCATTGCAATATGCCAGTGAGCTCCAGACTTTCGGAAAAGATTGGTGGATGGGAGTGCTATCGTGGATGGGATCTTGCCAAGACCCATCACATGTTTAGTTGCTTAAACAAAAGGTATTCTGTTTCGTTTTTTTTTTTGAGACGGAGTGTCGCCCTTGTTGCCCAGGCTGGGGTGCAATGGCGCAATCTCGGCTCACCACAACCTCTGCCTCCCGGGTTGAAGCAATTCTGCTGCCTCAGCCTCCCAAATAGCTGTGATTACAGGCATAGACCACCACGCCCAGCTAATTTTGTACTTTTAGTAGTGATGGGGTTTCTCCACGTTCACCAGGCTGGTCTCGAACTCCCGACCTCAGGTGATCTGCCCAGCTCGGCCTCCCAAAGTGCTGGGATTACAGGCGTGAGCCGCCGCGCCTGGCCAGGATAGTCTGTTTCTTAATTACTTCTGTGTCTTTCCTCTTTATTAAATTGTCCATTGATTTTATTTCAATATTCTTTTCTCGGTTTATTTGAGACGGGTTTTCACTCTGTTGCTGAGGCTGAAGTGCTGTGGTGTGATCATAGCTCCCTGCAGCCAGCTTTCATCTCCTGGACTCAAGCAATCCTCCCACTTCAGCCTCTCAAGTAGCTGGAACTACAGATGCGCACCACGACCACACCCAGCTAAATTTTTTTTGGTATTTCGTGTAGCAGTGGGCTTTCACCAGGTGGCCCAGGCTGATCTTGAACTCCTGAGCTCAAGAAGTGCGCCCACCTTGGCCTCCCAAAGTGCTGGGATTACGGGTGTGAGTCACCACGCTGGGATTACGGGTGTGAGCCACCACGCTGGGATTGCGGGTGTGAGCCACCACGCTGGGATTGCGGGTGTGAGCCACCACGCTGGGATTGCGGGTGTGAGCCACAGTGCTCATGTTTATTTCAGCATTCTGTTTCAGTGTTTACATTGGTCACTTAGCTAGATCCGTCTATCTTGTGCGCTACTGTGCTGATGCAGAGTATATGCTGACAGAAAGTGCTTTGGATGTGAAGTTTAAAAGATATAAGGGGCCGGGTGCGGTGGCTCAAGCCTGTAATCCCAGCACTTTGGGAGGCCGAGACGGGTGGATCACGAGGTCAGGAGATCGAGACCATCCTGGCTAACACGGTGAAACCCCGTCTCTACTAAAAAAAAAAATACAAAAAAAAACTAGCTGGGCGAGGTGGCGGGCGCCTGTAGTCCCAGCTACTCGGGAGGCTGAGGCAGGAGAATGGCGTGAACCCGGGAGGCGGAGCTTGCAGTGAGCCGAGATCCAGCCACTGCACTCCCGCCTGGGCAACAGATTGAGACTCCGTCTCAAAAAAAAAAAAAAAAAAAAGATATAAGGGGTTCAAAATAGTACTAATCATTTGATCCATACGCAAAAGGACAAAGGCTGGACAGAGATGTGAAGAATCATTTACGTGATTATTGGGGTGTTCTGATTATGTGTGATTTTGCATCTTTTTTTTTTTTTGAGACACTTTCACTGTTGTTGCCCAGGCTGGAGTACAATGGCGTGATCTCGGCTCACCGCAACCTCTGTCTCCCGGGTTCAAGCGATTCTTCTACCTCAGCCTCCCAAGTAGCTGGGATTACAGGCACGCACCACCACGTCCGGCTAAATTTTTGTATTTTAGTAGAGACGGGGTTTCTCCTGTTGGTCAGGCTGGTCTGGAACTCCCGACCTCAGGTGATCTGCCTGCCTCGGCCTCCCAAAGTGCTGAGATTACAGGCGTGAGCCACCACTCCCTTCTAGTGATTTTATCTTTGGCCATTTCATTTTCTATTGCTATAATCATTTTGATAATGAATAAAAACCAAATAGCACCCAAAATTGTTAAGGATACGGAACCTCATTGATGAGTCAGGGTATAGCTACGTAGTAGGGACACAGTATAGTAGACCTTGGTACATAGAGGGCGGAATGACCTTTGGTGGCCTGGGAAAAGTCCCACTTGTGACTTACCCCTAGCAAAATCAAGACCAAGAGTGCCGATGTGCATTATGGTCATGAACATGTATTGGATGCTTACTGTATACCAAGCACCAGCCAAGTACTTCCACGTGATTTTCATTTAGCCCTCATGACCCCATGAGATAATCACTATTCACATTCCATTTTACAGAAGACAAAATTTGCTCCAGGTCACACAATTAGAAAGTAGTGGAATTGGCTGGGCAGGATTGCTCATGCCTGTAATCCCAGCACTTTGGGAGGCTGAGGCGGGTGGATCACTTGAGATCAAGAGTTGGAGACCAGCCTGACCAACATGGTGAAACCCCATCTCTACCAAAAAGTACAAAAATTAGGGAGGCCAAGATGGGTGGATCACCTGAGGTCAGGAGTTTGAGACCAGCCTGACCAACATGGAGAAACCCCGTCACTACTAAAAAATACAAAGTTAGCCGGGCGTGGTGGCCCATGCCTGTAATCCCAGCTACTTGGGAGGCTGAGGCAGGAGAATCGCTTGAACCTGGGAGGCGGAGGTTGCTGTGAGCCGAGATAGCACCATTGCACTGCAGGTCTGGGCAACAAGAGCAAAACTCTGTTTCAAAAAAAAAAAAAAAATTAGCTGGGCGTGGTGGTGCATGCCTCTAGGCCCAGCTATTCAGGAGGCTGTGGCATGAGAATAGCTTGAACCCAGGAGGTGGAGGTTGCCGTGAACCGAGATGGCGCCATTGCGCTCCAGCTTGGGTGATGGTGAGACTTTATCGCAAAGAGAAAAAAAAAAAGTGGTGGCCTCTGGATTTGGCCTTGAGCACCCTGTACAAAGCCAGCTCCTCATTTGCCAGGCCACCAAGCAGGGGAACTGTTCTCCACATTTTCTCTTGGTAAACTGGCTGTAGTGGCTCACAGCTGTAATCCCAGTATTTTGGGAGCCTGAGGTGGGAGGATCACTTGAGCCCAGGTGTTCAAAACCAGCCCGGGCAACATAGACCCTGTCTATGTATAAAATACAAACATTAGCCAGGCATGGTGGCTTACGCCTGTGATCCCAGCTACTCTGGGGGCTGAGGTGGGAGGACTGCTTGAGCCCAGGAGGCCAAGGCTGCAGTGAGCTGTGAGTGCACCACTGCACTGCAGCCTGACGGATAGAGCAAGACCCTGTCTCAAAACAAGTGTACAAATTTCCTCTTTGGAGTCATCTAACTTTCCTGTGAATCTTCCCTTTTTCCCTGAGCTAATGAGGGAGGTTGCCCGTCAGATCTCCTTTCACCCAAATGGAACATGTTGCTTTTCCTTAGAGATCCTTGATCCACGGTTAGTCTAGACCCTGTTGGGTTGATGAGTAAGTTTCTTTAGGGGCTCTGAACAACTTTGAACTGGATGCAAAGCGTGTGCTGGTGCACTGATGTGTATTTTGGGGAAAGCATCTGTAGCTTTCAGCATATTCTTTTTTTTTTTTGAGACGGAATCTCGCTCTGTCGCCCCGGCTGGAGTGCAGTGGCGCAGTCTCGGCTCACTGCAAGCTCCGCCTCCCGGGTTCACGCCATTCTCCTGCCTCAGCCTCCCGAGTAGCTGGGACTACAGGCACCCGCCACCACGCCTGGCTAATTTTTTAAATATTTTTAGTAGAGACGGGGTTTCACCGTGTTAGCCAGGATGGTCTCGATCTCCTGACCTTGTGATCTGCCCGCCTCGGCCTCCCAAAGTGCTGGGATGACAGGTGTGAGCTGCCACGCTTGACTCGGCATATTCTTGAGTTGACTTAGAGGTCTCCTGACTACACTGTTTTCAGTCTTGCTGTCTCCCTCCCGCATGAGATGGAGTCTCACTACCTTGCCCAGGCTGGAGTGCAGTGGCGAGATTCCAGCTCACTGCAACCTCTGCCTCCAGGTTCAAGCAATTCTCCTGCCTCAGCCTCCCGAGTAGCTGGGATTACAGGCATGCGCCACCATGCCCAGCTAATTTTTTTTTGTATTTTTTTTTTTTTTTTTTTGAGACGGAGTCTCGCTGTGTCTCCCAGGCTGGAGTGCAGTGGCGCGATCTCGGCTCACTGCAAGCTCCGCCCCCTTGGTTCACGCCATTCTCCCGCCTCAGCCTCCCAAGTAGCTGGGACTACAGGCGCCCGCTACCACGCCCGGCTAATTTTTTGTATTTTTAGTAGAGACGGGGTTTCACCGTGTTAGCCAGGATAGTCTCGATCTCCTGACCTCGTGATCCACCCGCCTCGGCCTCCCAAAGTGCTGGGATTACAGGCTTGAGCCACCGCGCCCGGCCTTTTTTTTGTATTTTTGTTAAGAGACAGGGTTTCTTTTTTTTTTTTTTTTTTTTTTTTTTTTTTTGAGACAGAGTCTCGCTTAGTCGCCCAGGCTGGAGTGCAGTGGCGCGATCTCGGCTCACTGCAAGCTCCGCCTCCCGGGTTCACGCCATTCTCCTGCCTCAGCCTCCCGAGTAGCTGGGACTACAGGCAGCCGCCACCTCGCCCGGCTAATTTTTTGCATTTTTAGTAGAGACGGGGTTTCACAGTGTTAGCCAGGATGGTCTCGATCTCCTGACCTTGTGATCCGCCCGCCTCGGCCTCCCAAAGTGCTGGGATTACAGGCGTGAGCCACCGCGCCCGGCCTAGAGACAGGGTTTCACCATGTTGGCCAGGATGGTCTCGAAGGGTCTGGAACTCCTGACCTCAGGTGATCCACCTGCTTCGGCCTCCCAAAGTGCTGGGATTAGAGCCACCACGCTGGGGCACACTATTTTTAACTGGAAGCTGCTTTCCTGTGTCAGTCCTCTAAACATTAATTTTTATAAAATGTTTAAAACCTTTCTAGGAAAGATAAAAATGAATTTTTAAAATTCTGTTTCTAAATGAAATGTCAGTATCACTGTTTGAACAACCACTTAAGCTATGGAGTTTTCCGAAATGAGCAGCCATTAACTGTGTTTGATTTTCAGCCTCCATCTATTAAGTGTATTCAGTGTTTTCAGGTCTATCACAATTTTTTTTTTTCCTTTTTTTTAAAAAACATTTAAGGCTGGGCATGGTAGCTCACATCTGTAATCCAAGCACTTTGCAAGTCCGAGGCAGGCGGATCACATGAGGTCGGGAGTTTGAGACCAGCCTGACCAACATGGAGCAACCCCATCTTTGCTAAAAATACAAAATTA